AGATATTCACATTAACGATTATCAAAATGGTAGCTACAACATCTATATCGGAAATACGTAAAGATATTGCTGATGATAACTATGAATTATTACATGGAAATAAAGCTAACCGATTTGCACAAGAAGAAATTTCGAAAGTAATGCTGAAACGCAAGAAATTCAATAAACTCTCCGTCACGGTATGCAATATAGAGTAAAAAGGTTCGAAAAGTATAATTATAATAACTATTAGCTATAATTATGGTTACTATATTCAGAAGATAATGAACACGAATGAACGGCAGACAACCTATGATAAGTTTATTATACATTAATGGATTTAACCATATACAGACCTAGTTATGATAGAGCGATTTCCTGTTTTGTCGACTTCGGTGAAGACCATAGTTATTGATCGAGTTGTTACTTGTTTTATCGTTGATTGAGTTCTGTACGATGTTGTCGATCGATGGGTTCTGAAAATCTAGATATGTCTCTTCGCAGTGTGTTTCTATTGGTTTGTCTTGTATCGTTGGGGAATGAATTTTGAAACTGGAGGAAATTTTGTCTCAATTGGTAACTGTTTAAGGGATGGATGGGTTATGGCTATGGTGTATCCGCCGACTGTCTGTTATGTCCAAAAACAGTCAAATGGACCAGAGCGACAGCCTCCTAAGTGCAAGTACTCCGATTTTCTAGCCCGTTACACGTTACAGATTATATGCTTCAACATTTTTTGAATAAATTTTATGCTGCTTCTAAAAGGAGTCGTTTATAAGAAAAAAGCGTATATATATTTGTAACAAATTGAGTTATCAATCTGTTATTATTATTAAAGATTGCAAGTTCAAAAGGGATCATATTAAACGGATTCTACGATACTTCGATACTCATTGAAATTGAAAATTCGTGTAAAGAGGATACGTGACCAAGAATCTGAAACAAATTACTTCCAAATCTATTCTTATATGTAATGTAATTTTGTATACATGCATTCTTAGGCCAATGTGGTACTTATAGATTGATTAAGGGACTCTGTCATACATGTCAATGTATAAAAATGTTTGAAGTAAAAATTGTCCGAATATTTGTAAATGTACTATGATACGTAACCAATGATATATTAAAAAAGGTTTCCAAAAAACGAATAAAAAATGAAATTGTAATTATTGCGAAAAAGTTACGAACGGTAGGGAAGCCCGCGAACACACTGCTCACTGGAATGATCAGTAAGACTTTGGAGATACAGAAGGCACTGGACACGTGACAAGACAAAAAGAAAGACGGTCACTTATCAATGAGGGAACGGTAGCTACTTTTGAAACGGTGGAATATTTAATCAAACGGTAGTATAAAAAATTGTAGGAGTATGTAAGATTATACGAGCTGCGGTTACTGATAAGGCGGCGTGAGTGAGGAGCTCGTAACTCGAAGCGGCGATCCGCTTGATCTTCGCGATGAATTAACAAAGGAGGCCCCACCTATGAAAGGGCAGCTCGAGCAGCGAACCGGGAAGTCATACGCAAGAGACGAGAGCGGTATGTGCGTATAGTTGATCAAGAAGAATAAAGTCAAATCGGCCACCGAGAGTTAGACTCATTAGAATCCAGCCCTCTCTTCTCTTCCCCTTATAAAATCAAATTTAAATTTAAGCAAATTGGTAAATTAAGCATCTAATCGTTAGCTATACGCTGATTCAAATAGTTCCTAGATACGAGTTCCTTATTTCTTTTGATAAAATTTAAATTTGTAAAGGACAGTGTAAGATTTTTTCTGCGAAAACAAAGTTGATCTTCGAATAACTTCAAAAACGTGGAGCGAAACAGAAATAAGTACTATAGTTGTTCTTCTCTCTCGAATCCCTACAGCTGTCATTTGAAAAAATTATTTTTGAGGAAATTTACTTCCTGAGATATTTCGTTTATAACAATACTATCTAACAATGTAAATTGTTATGTAAATTAAAATGGAACACCTTGCTTATGCTAATATTTAAATTTTTATTTGCTATTAATTGCAATAAACTAAAATAGCAGCAATAATACAGATCCATATAAAAAATATAAAAATAAGGAAAAAGATAATGGAGAGGATCATATTTCGTCACACACGTGTTTAAAAATCAACAAGCTTATCGAAAATATCGACAATTATATTGTCAAAAAATTTAATATAGCGAAATACTGAGACAATGTTATTTTATTATTATTAGAACGCGGATGTTTATGTAAATGCACATTTTGATCGAAAATAGGTAAAACAATGGGACCTGGAAAGAAATATATTTTATGATCGGGGGATTCTAAAAATACATCATTTATTTCACACAGTTTGCATGTTCAAATTACTTTCGTCATATGCATTTCAAGAATTTGATACCGTTTATGAATTATCAGTGTAATCTGTCGCAAATGCAATCAAAATTTAATTGTGTTCATTGTCAATGAGATTGATAACGGTCAGTGACAAAGAAAAGCATGTATATATTTATGTTGACAACAAGTCATTCTCTATGAAATAGTATCAAATACAGCTGATATTCTTGGCTATACCCGTTGTGCGATAATTTAGTACAATTCGGAATAGCGAAGTATTCGTAGCATCAATACTGTTGGAATAAACGTAAGGAATTTATGCTGCGATCTGAAAGGGTCTGGATATAGTAGAAGAGATTTTTCCTGTGTGGAAGAAAACCCAAAAATATCCTATCAGACGTGCTCCTTCGAGTATTTATAGAATAAAGTCTTTAACCTTAGTTACGATACGGTTCCCACGCTTTAATTTTTGCCCGACTCTCTTTCCAATTCAACAAATATATCGCATACTACGAAAATTTCCACTTCGAAAATTCCTATTTTAAACGATAAATTAATATCATACCCGAAACAAGGAAAACTGCTTCAAAATTGGATCGATGGAATTGAAGATACAAATTTTCTAAACAATGGAGTATCTGTGCGATGTAAAATATGTGAAAAGGAAATTCAATGCAACAGAGCAACCACATTTTGTTATTCTATTGTTATACCACATTTTCAATAAATTTACTACATATGTGTTTCTGCATATGTTATTATATTACTCCATATGTTTATATAATATATTTTAATATATCAACATACTTCAAGTACATAAACATCTGCAGTCTAATTATTACTAATAGCTGAAGAAATATTTCAATCGTTTAAACATCCTTTATTTTACCTATGATCATAAAGAGTTATTATATTTACTTTAAGTAATATTTCTTCTTTAATATAACAAATTTCGCAATATCGATATAGCAGCATATGCTTTGTGCTACAGGTCAGGACTCCTATAGGTCAGAAATAAGTTACGGAGTGTGAAGAAAGTGCCATGACCTGCACCATAGCACGATTCTGTACCATCGGATAGGTGAAGATTTCACTAAATTGCTGATTCAACCGCTGAATCTCACATCGAACTGATATTGTTAGTTGTCTTCTGCTATTTCTAACTCGACCCAATAATTTTCTTCTGCTTCGTCGATAGCACAATGTTTTATGTAGTCATGTTACATCCGTTAAAAATCCTACATGATTGATACCAAAGCTGAGTATAAACTATTCAATATCATTTTTCACGAGTATGTTTGGGTTCCAACCATTTGGTTTTGAAAAAAGCTAGTCAAGGACAATTTTTCGGTCCATTTTTTTAACAAACCTTCACCCATCCAAAAATATAGAATCACGCTATAGGAGCCATGAAATTTATTTTCTTTACACCTCGTACAAGAAAATTTTTCTATGTCAATTGTTATCAACATCGCTGATTAAGCCTAATCTATAATAAACGACGCCTAATGAATAATTTTATAATTAAATATAATTCCTAGAATCGTACAAGATATAACCAAATCTTCAGATATTCCTTTAACATTTACAGTCCATAATTTTCTATAAGGTACTTGGCCTATAATTGAAAATATTCAAATAAAATTCACTTAGAAATTGACGATATGTGCGAATATCCTTTTTTTCATTTACATAAAGCTTTTCTCGTGAAATGCCGAATATTTTATTTGATCTTTTTAGTATATTAGAAAATTCGCGTAAGAAATAAATTTTTTGACGCAACTAAAACAATTAACATGTTTTATAAATTCTAAGATAAATTTTGAAATACCTGTACTTAATTAAAGTTTTAGATAAAATTGTACGTTGTCATATGTCATACTGCAAAAAATGAAAAGTAATTCTTAAATAAATATAGAAATAGTTACCTTAACACATTGCTTGCCGGTCTGCCATTATTGCAGAATTCTGACGCTTAACCGCCAGTTCCGTCATATTTTATAAATATTTTCAACATTTGTAAGCATTTGATAATATCTGTCTTGTATGGCATAAATTATGATATTCGGTAAGAATACAATATAATATAATAATTCCTTGAACTTGTACAGTTTTAAGGAAAACAGAATACAACGATACTGGGCAAAAAGGTATCGAATAAAGATAAAATGATAAAAGTCAATATTGTTTAGGTTTATAGGAATTATATGTTCCTCTTTGAATATAACGATAAAAGAATGTCTGATTTGAATGAAACTTTGCAAGGATGTACAATAAGGAAAGTAAATTTAATGTATACCATATATTGTACAGGTGTATATCTGTGTACGTGTATTATTTATATATATTTTATAGAAAGTTTAGTTTAAATCAGAGCTTCCTCCCAAAAATATGAAATTTTGATTCTCGAATTATTATTGCAATCCGGTTGGAATACATTACATCTTTTACATCTTAATTCTATTCGATGTTTTTTCTCTGACATGTATTCACCACTGTAATTTACTTATGTGGTTATGTAGTTTTTAGTATATTCAAACCTTCTTTCAAACGACCGCTCCACTTGTGTAAGCACATGTGCGAGTATGTATTAACACTCAGGAACTCAACAGCTAATATTTAGCCGGCATACAACGTGCTAAGTAATCTCATATACTTATGTGTAAAATGCTAGTAACGAATAAAGATTTGAAAAGATGTACTAACCTGTGCGTGAATATATTTGCTGTATCTTCTGCTGTTTATGACGCATATAACCAAGAGGTTGGCACAAAGAATGCCGAAAAGAATCAGAGTTGCGCGTAACAACTCCCCTGGACCTGGTCCAGTCCAAGCTCCTTCGGACGTGTCCCTCCGCCAACAGCTGCTGTTGCTTAACGCCGGTGCGAGCAAAATTGTTTGCTTGTGTTCCATTTTCTCCTTGATTAACGTATTTACTTTGAAAATTCGTGTTTAATTTCCTAGCCCAGACGAGACGTTCGTGTCTCGTATGAGGCTGGGCTGGTAAATGCCTTTCCTGACAATGTTTCATCTCTGTCGTACTGCTGTCCCGGCTAGGCTCGCTTTCCGACTATTTATATTAACTACACTGACTTCCATCATTGTCGCGAATCAAACAGTCTTTTTATTTCGATAGATATTAAATACGTTCGACGAAATCCACTTTTGCATTAATTTAAAATCACGACTTGTTCAGTTCACCAGTTTCTTAACTTCGATTTTCACTATAAAATTGTATTCTCAAGTGGCACATAATGCCAAGGCACAATTGATTAAATTACGGTTAAGATATCTGCAACATACAAAAATAAAATTTCATTATTAACTTGATCACTTATCGTATTTACCGAACATAATTTTACATAAATATACGTTAATGTTTCCGTAAGTGTTCCGAAAGTTGATGAAAATATTTTTCAACCCCCTTAGTAGGTTACTCCGATTGTCTTCGAAATAATTTATACTCAGCAATAGGCTATAAAGTGTATTTCTGAATAAATAGGGAATATTTTTGTACCGAATTACTGCTTAAAGATAAAGAAAAAGATTTATATAAACACGTCTTGCTTTACCCTGTTTTAAAATATTTTTCACTTATTCAGGGACAACCTGTGTACCGATCAACGATCAGACTAACCTATGATGATTTGCACTTATGTTAGCCTGCAAACGTCGAGTCATTCTCAAAAACACATTCTAGCCAATACGATCAACAGAAATTATTCTAACCGATTGAAATATATCCAGAAGATTAAAAGACGATGCATACCCTACTATCATAAGAAACAATATCAGAAAAATATCTTCAACGGAATCGAAAATTATTTAAAAATGGTTTAATTAAATTTATTCTAAGAATAGCGATAACATCTAAATAATTAAATCCCAATCTTACAAATCGTTTCTAATGGAATAATAAGTAGCAGTTGATACTATGCAGAGATGAAAAGAAGACGCAGGATCTGCTCGCTCCTTTCAATTTCTTCTGAACAATTGTCGAATACATAGAATTAGGATCTACATATATTCGTAGGATAATGAAATAAATATATTTTTTAAATATTGGAAATTGTAGATACGGAGTGTTACTCTTACATTCTTAAAGTGTATATCGTCACTAGGTCGTTCTTGTTTGACGACGATTCTTTGAAGAGATTGTGTTTAGCTTCGAAATAGTAAGTAGACTGTGTTCCAATCTTGCTCTCGCGTGTTTTTATATTCTACGAGCAAATAGGTCTAGCATGTGCACCCTTGGTAGGGCTATGTAATTTGTAATTAGATGAAGATTCCGAATTTGAGGTACAAGGGTAGGGTACACATCGTGTTTTATCTGGGTACGGGGTCAGCAATATGGTTTTTCCCGATGAGTAATAATACCGCCAAAACGGTATATCAAGGATTAACATAGAGTATCATTGGAATCGTAACTTGAAATCCTGTCGCTATTAAAGGGTGAAAGAGTAACTGCTTTGTAAAGAACGAGTTTACCCAATCCTCTTTCAATTATTCTCTTTTAACCATTTTAGTGTCATGGATCATTCTAAAGATCGCATCGAATAATGTCACATGGAAAATTTGTCATTGTCTATAAAAAAGCCAACTTAAAAAACGACGAAAATGATAGCAAGTCTTCGAAAAATTTGCAAAATAGCAAGTATCTGAACAATGGATAAGTATAAAATTTAATATCATCTTAATACTTGTTCCCGACAATTGTTGCGACAGAGTTAATTTATATAATTCAACAGGCTCGTATTACAGAGTGTACGGAGATTCCTTTTTTATTTCGTCAACAATTAACATTCGGTGTTGCGATCACGTCAATGGCACAGACTATCGTTGTATCTCACACTGTTACGATTTCTTTCGTTGCTCATTGTTCGTCACCGCGGTGCAACAATAGATACGATTGTCTTAGCCAATAACTATAATCGACGCGAGTGAGAGCATTTCAACTAGCGATTCACTAGACGATTCCCCTTACTCCTGTTCCTTTATGGTTTGTTGGATCTGTGCCTTCTTCTCATCCCTACATAGTAAGTGCCTACTCTATCACTGGCAGTGGTCTATTCCCACTTAACGACGATAACAGTGCGGGGTGAAACATATAACTAACCATATCGTTGTATTTAATTCAGAAAATCGGAATTCTTTAACGGACATTCAAATATAATTTAGAAAGGAAAAATTGATTTCGTATAACACCGATTTTTGTTTTACAAGAATATGTTTAATACGTTCGGGAAACTTTCCTACTAAAATTGAAACCAAATACAATGTTACACAGGTATCTGTTTAGGATTTAATATTTTTAAGCTGTTCGGTACTTTCTATCACCATTTGGTTATTGTACAGTTTAGCAAATTCGTTTCTATTGGCTCAGGTCATCGGACACGGGACGTCCTTCAACGCCTAATTTAACGAAATTTGGCGATAGCATTTAGAATTTGGCTGATAATAGGTCTGCATGTGTTGGGGTCAGGCCATGTGCGTTGGTTCCGAGTAATCCCAGCTTTCAAAGAATTAAACCAAAAGTGACGTCGTCACGATAACCTCTCAAGAATGGTCACCAACATACAGGTGACCTCACAAGCGTCTCACTCTAAAGGAGGGATTTCCTTCACCATCGATCTTGCCGTCAAGGACGTTCTTTCTTCTTTAGGGGTGACCGATTTTCGGACCAAGGGCACACCCTTGGTTCAACAAATGGCCAATCAGGAGAATGCTCGTCCTCTGGCAGCGCTTGATCACCATCAGCTTCGAAAGATAAGGTCAGTTTCCTCAGACTCACTGAGCGGACCACATTTCTCACAAGTTCTTCGATACACATCGAACGAACTACATCGCTACCTAAGTCGCTATCACACATCAACCGAACCAAGGGAGATCGTTATTATTACGTTAAAATAGAGCATTTGTGGACAATTATTTATTGTCAAATAATTATTCGCTAAATATCCATGTTCACATAGTCAATTCGTGGATAGTGCCTGCAGACTAGTACCCAAACAGAAGATTAACAGAAACAACGAATCATCGTACTTGATAGACCCATAAGGGAAATAGAAATCCTTACAGTAATATTAAAAATCCTTCAGGAGATATACATTTCGTGAAAAACAGTCTGAAATCCTTGACTACGACCATCTGCAACTTTTTCTTAGCACCTCTTTCTCTGACATCGCGTTTCATCTCCCGCCAACTTCTATTCTCCTAATCAGATATCTTTAATTTGTAACTTCTTTACCTTTCTCCTCATCTATCAATTAGTCCTCGATTAATCGAGTCCATATTTGAGTACACCATCGACACGATGGTAGATTCAACGAACACGACAGAGCACCAAGAACACGCACTACTGACATCAAGTACAAGGTATGTTAGCAAACACAACTTCAAAGTTTTTTTTATCATGATCAAGTTAATTCAAGTGAACTATCTCATAATAAATTTATCGCAAAAGCAGCTTCGTGACATACAAAATTAAATGTTGCTGATTTAGTCGATGGTATATATATAATTAAATAATTTAGTTTGAATGTCTTTAAATTGGTAATAATAATAATATCGTAGCACATAATGCATATATACATACTGCACAATGCGCATCGATGTACGCACGTATTGTAATATTTTGCAAATTGATTCTTCGATTTGTACTAAACCGAGTTTTATATCGTCCAAATGACGATGGTGAAAAATTATGAAAGCAAAATCTGACGTCGAAGTTCAGCGAACTCGAAAAATTTGATCGCTTTGAAAAGATTGAGAGTCGTATATCTTTTTATTATAACTGCCTCTGTGTAATTTTAAAATAGTGCCACCGATTAATACACTAGTGTAGCATTCGTGTATTCGTGCCTCGCAAGAAGCTTCGTGGGAGAAATAAAGGTCTGATTATTTATGGCGTAATAAATTCACCTGTCCTCGCACAATTATAAAGATAAGACAAACAAAGTATCTGAAATGGACGCTTTAGCATCCACAGTCCTGGACCATAACCAGGATTATCTGCGTGGATGGTTACTGAAAATTCGATTGAAAGAAGGAGAAAGGACGAATGTGAGAGAGATAACGATACGTAATACGATCGTAAAGGGCACGCAACAATGATAAATTAATAAATATGGTACTTCGTGAATTCAGTTCTATTAGCGAGGTCAGCAATAAATGCTAGAATGGGCATAATTCTGACGCATATATAAGTACTATTATAACTTTGCGTGACAAAAGAAGCGAATGAAAATACTTATACAAAATACTTGTATAAGTATAGCGTTAACTATTATACAGGATGAGCAAGTAAAGTGTTACGAATTATTTAAATTCCCTAAATGAAATGACAAATCAATTTTTTGTTTCTCGAACAGTTTTTATTACGATTAATAATATTTACTTCAAATATTCCTTCGCATTTTGCATAATCGACGAACTATAATAGAAAATGCTCCATGTATCGCGCACAGGTCACTATCCGGCTCGAAGGACCAAAAAATGTCGCGTCGCTTCTCGAGTGATTTTTGTGGGATTCGACGGGTTGTAAGGCCGTCTCGCGATCAGGTAATGTTGTCCGCCAAATTAATATTGAGCAACTGTTTCAGTTGCACGAACAAAGAGAAGGTCGCGGCTGGAGTCGAATGGTAGACTCTTGTACAAGAGGAGTTAAACATTTGATGATCTCGATAAGTAGGATCAAGATTCTCTATTCGGCGTTTCGTAGAGAACTGACTCATTGTCGATTCGATTTGAACTGTTTGACGTCTCGAAGAGAACTTGACTCTTCGACGATTCCTAGCGAACTCTACTCTTTGACGATTCAAAAAGGACTCATGCTCCTCGATTTTCCTGAGATCGGTCTTAGGAAAAATCGGAAGCTCGCCAAATATTATTGGCTGATTTGACCAAGGGCGTTCTCTTGGTCCGTAAATCGGTCACTCTGAAGGAAGGGAAGGTTCCCCCAAACGAAGACGGTAGTGGAGGAAACCCTCTCCTCCAAGGTGAGGTACGTGAGGTCCACCCGTGCACTGGTGACCCTATCGGCCATTTAT